GGAACACTCTGGCTGCTTTTCCAAAACATTTGCTAGTTCTTTCGGCAGTCCGTAGGATGGATATTTAGCACTCTTACCCTAAATCAAATGCGTTGATGTGCTAAATGCGTTAATGGTTACCCATGGCCAACAGTGTTTGGTGGAGCTCCCCAATTAAAACAAGCCTGGAAGCAGGAGTGGCATCCACTTCCATAATAGCTTGCCTCCGGAAACCCTGTGAACCTGGAGAGAGGATGGAAGTCACGCAAGTGTCGAGGACTCTCTTTCATAGGGTTGCTATGAGTCACCTACGACTCGACGGCACTTAACAACACCACCACCATCCTAACTCACAGCTCAAAGGCATCAATCAATTCTTCTTATTCATCCTTATTCATTGTCCAGTTCTCAGATGCATAGCAATTGATTGAAAAGACCATGGCCTGAATCAAGTGGACCTTAGTCTTCAGACTGATATCATTGTTCCTCAATAATTAGGAGAGAACCTTGACTGCAGACTTTCCCAGTGCGGTTAATCTCCTGACCTATTGGTTCAGTGGTTAAAATTTTCTTTTCTTTTTGATCTTCTGTCACAAGTGCTTCAAGTCCTCCTCACTTTTAGCCAGCAAGGTTGTGTCATCTGCATACTACATAGGCTGTTGATGAGTCTTTCTCTGATACCAATGCCAAATTCTTCTTCATAGAGTCCAGTTTCTTGAATAATTTGCTCAGCATACAGATTGAATAGATATGAAGAGAGGATACAACCCTTTTCTTAGTCTAGGTCTAGGTTATGCATGAGCACAATGAAATGTTCTGGGATTCCCATTCTTCTCAATGTTAGCCATAGTTTGTTATGATCCACATAGTCAAATACCTTTGCATTGTGAATACAACCTAAATAAACATTCGTCTGGTATTTCTTGCTTTCAGCCAGGATCCATCTGACATCAGTGATATATCCCTGGTGCCACAGCCTCTTCTAAACCCTTCTTGAATTCCTGGAAGTTTCCTGTTTATATACCATTCTAGTTCGTTTTTAATGATTTTCAGCAATATTTTATTTTCATGTTATATTAATGATATTGTTTGATAATTTCCACATTCTGTTGGATCATCCTTCCTGGGAATAGGAGCAAATATAGATCTCTTCCAGTCACAACTAGACAGCTGCCTTCTCAATTTTCTGGCATAGACTGGTGAGCATGTCCAGGGCAGCATCTGTTAGTTGAAACATGTCAATTAATGCCCCATCATTTCCTGGGGCCTTCCGTGCTCTTATCATATGGACCAAGATTTTAGTGCTCGCCACTTCTGTCTGGTACAATGATTCTATTCTCTTCATCTTCTTTTGATACTTCCTAGATCATTCAAGATTTTGTCTATAACATTACTAAGTATTGCAACTCAAGACTTGATTTTTTTTTTAGTTCTTTTAGCTTGAGAAATGTAAAGCAAGTTCTTCCCTTTTTATTCTCAAATTCCAGCTCTCTGCACATTCCATTATAATACTTTCTCTTCTCTCTGAGCTGCTCTTTGAAATCTCCTATGCACTTCTTTTACCTCAGCATCACTTCACTTTGTTTTGGCTTCTCGAACTCTAGTGCCGTCTCTCCTGACATCCATTTCGGGTGTTTTTTTTTTTTTTTTCTCTTCCGTCTTTGTAATGATCTTTTGCCCTCCTCATGGATAATATCCTTGATAACATCCCACAACTCATCTGGTTTTCTTCGATCATTGGTTTTCCATATTTCAAACTTGTTCTTAAGATGATTTAAATTTATGTGGAATAGATCTAAAATCATGTTTTGCTTCTCATGGAATTGTTTCATGTTCTTTAGCCTCAATTGGAACTTACCCATGAGTGGTCCAGTCCACAATCGGCACCTGGCCTGGTTTTGACTGCTGATATTGATTGACCTTCTCAGCACTTCCTTCCACCAATGTAGTCAGTTTGATTCCTACGCAGCCCATTTGTGTTTTGTGTTTTTTTTTTAATTGGTATTTGCAACGAATAAATCATGGAATGTACAACATTCAATCATCCTATTTCCAACCACATTTCTGTCACCAGTTCTGTACTTCTTGGCCACCATTTTGTCTTTATTGTTTCCAACTTTTACATTCCAGTCATCAGTTATTATAAACACACCTTGACTGCATGTTTGGTCAATTTTGCACTGCACATTCAATTTCCTCCTCTTTGGATTTAGCTGTTGGTGCAGATATTTGATTAATAGTCGTATTATCAGGTCTTCCTTTGTGTGTATATTATCCCATCACTCACATTGTACTTCAGGATAGAACTTTATGTTGACTTTTTAACTATGAATGCAACACCATTCTTCTGTTTTTCATTCCAAGAATAGTATGCTTTGTAATTATCTAGTTCACAGATAAGGTACTGAATGTGTGTGTGGATAATATCCTATCACTCAAAACATTGTACTTGAAGGTAGAACTATAGATGTTTTTCACTCCCAGCATGGTATACCGTGTGATTTTCTGATTCTGAGTGGCCAAAGCCAATCCAGTACATCTCTAATGCCTAGAATAATGTTGTTCATGCATTTCATTTTTCACAACTTCTGGTTTTCCAATGTTCATACTTTGTACATTCCATGTTCCAACTATTGTGCTCGCTTCGGCAGCACATATACTAAAATTGGAACGATACAGAGAAGATTAGCATGGCCCCTGCGCAAGGATGACACGCAAATTCGTGAAGCGTTCCATGTTCCAACTATTAAAGGTTGTTTACAATGGCTTCTCCTTATTTTTATTGACTTCCAATCTGGGCTCTACTAATACTATAAATACCTGTGTTCCTCTGTTGTCCATAGTGTTTTCAGAGGCCTGCTGTTTTACCTCAATTTGCTATATTGAGACAACATGCCAGAAATGTCACCCATGGTGGACAGGTTTCAGTAGAGCTAGCTACCAGATTAAGACAGACTAGGAAGCAGAATTAGCCACCCACTCCTTAACTAGCAGACAACTGTGACATAGACTATGCAAACTAACCTGTCTTATTAGTTTTTGTGGTTTATGAATTGTGATTGCTATACATCCATTTGTGACAACACTTAATCTATTCTTAAAATTGAAAGTTTAATAGTATGTGCCTTTAAGATCTATATTTGTTCCCATTCCAAAGAAAGGTGCTCCAACAGAGTGTGGAAATTATTGAACAATATCATTGATATCACATGCAAGCAAGATTCTGCTAAAGATTATCCAAAAACGACTGGGACAGCACATCAACAGAGAACTGCCTGAAGTGCAGGCTGGGTTTAGAAAAGGCCATGGTACTAGGGATATTATAGCTAATGTTAGATTGATTTGGCTGAAAGCAGAGAATACTAGAGGAATGTGTTTCATTAATTATGCAAAGGCTGTGTGTCAGAACAGAGCAAGGAAACACTGCATGGTTCAAAATTGGGAAGGGTGTAACGCCAGGGATGTGTTAACACATCCCTGGCATTATCTCCATACCTTTTCAACCTATATGCAGAACAGATTAACCGTGAGACTGGGCTCTATGAGAAGTGTGGCACCAGGATTGGTGGAAGATTGATCAACAATCTGTGTTATGCCGATGACACCACCCTGCTTGCTGAAACTGAGGAGGACCTGAAGTGCTTGCTGCAGAGGGTCAAGAACTACAGCCTGCTATATGGATTAAGGCTCAATATCAAGAAAACAAAGATTCTCACCACTAGGCCAGTCTGCAGCATTGGGATGGATGGTGACGAGATTGAGATTGTTCACAGCTTTCATTTGCTTGGCTCCACAGTGTACACTCTTGGCACCAGCATTCAGGAAATAAAAAGACGTATTGCGAGAGGAAAGTCTGCTGTTAGGGACCTTTTCAAAGTACTGAGGAGTAATGGTGTCACTCTGGAGACTAAGGTACAGCTGATACAGGCCATGGTCTTTGCCATCACTTGCTATGTATCAGAGCTAGACAGTGACTAAGAAGGATGATGCCTTTGAGCTGTGGTGTTGGAGAAGAGTATTGAATATGCCATGGACTGCTAAGAAAACAAACAGGTTCATCCTGGAGAGGGTTAAACCATGCTACTCCTTGGAGTCAAGGATTCTGAAGCTTTGTCTAACATACTTTGGACATGTTGCATAGAGGTCCTTGGAGAGGGACATCATTTTTTTTATTATTATTTTTGTGTGAGTGTACCGTCAAATCAGATCTGACTGGTACAGGAGGAGATTGTCCCTCCTTCCCCGCAGAGCATCTGGGGGACATCATTTTTGGGAGGGCAGAGGGACAGAGCAGGAGAGAAAGAAGGAAAATTGATGCCTTTAAGCTGTGGTGCTGGAGAAGAGTATTGAGAATACCATGGACTGCTAGGAAAACAAACAGATTCATCCTGGAAAGGTTAAACCGGGTGGCTCCTTGGAGGCAAGGATTCTGGGGCTTCGTCTGACATACTTTGAACGTGTTGTAAGGAGCGACCTGTCATTTGAGAGGGACATCATGCTGGGTAGAGTAGAGGGACAGCGCAGGAGGGGAAGACCCTCTATGAGGTGGATTGATTCAGTGACTGGGGTAATCAGGATGGGTGTGTCAGAGACAGTGTGATTGGCACAGGATAGAGCAGGGTTTAGGGCTATTGTACATAGGGTCGCTATGAGTCGCAAGTGACTCGACGGCACATAACAACAACAACAACACTTTAAAGATCACTTCTTGAAAAGCTAGTGGTTGACTCGAGGTAGAAAATGTTATTACTAATTTATTCAAGTATTTATTAAATTTTATCATAGGTCAAAATCTTGAATGACAAAGGAACATGCATATTCACCTTCCTTTCCCCCTTCCCCTAATTTGGTAAAAGAAGCCAAGCAAGCAGAGAGGTCAAAAGTCATGTTTAAAAGAGTTAGAGGGGGGAAAAAGTATTTGGAGGCATGTTTGAAGGCAGCCTAATCGATAGCAGGGCGGTAGATTAATGAAAATGAGCATAATACAGTTTTTCCTCTTTCTCTCTTCCTCCTCTTTCTAGATTGCCAAGATGTTTTGGAGTTTTTAACTGAAGCTAAACCAAGTCCAAAGTAGATTTGAGACTGTACAAACAGAAGCCACAGCGAGGGGGATTCAGTGCCAATGCATCAACCAAAAAGACAACCAGAATTTGTGGAAGGGAATCTTCCTGTTTTCGTGTTTCCCACTGAGTTAGTATTTTATGCAGATGATCAGTCAACACATAAGCAGGTGTTGACTCTCTATAATCCCTATGAGTTTGCCTTAAAGTTCAAAGGTGAGTCTCCTGGGTCTCTGGTGGGTTCTAACTAGTCGCTACTAATTTAAGACTTGTAGAAACGAAAGTTTTTGAAACCACTAATGGCCGTTGTGACTTTTTCTTTCAGTTTTGTGTACTACTCCAAATAAGTATGTTGTCGTTGATGCTACAGGTGCAGTAAAGCCTCAGTGTTGTGTGGATATGTAAGTCAAAATCACTTCCTGGTAACACGTTTTAAGTGTGCTTTTATTTCTGTTTTTAACTCGGAGAAGATTCTTTCTAGAAACTGCCCTTGTGGGCACTTAATACTTTTTTGGGGAGGCGGGAAGGTTTCCCTGAAAGTTTTAAGTCTGTCAAAATTCTTTTGAAGATGTTCTAAGAAAACAAACAAACAAACAAGGATGTTTTAAGAGAATTTCAACAGACCAACCAAATACTTGATTATATTTCAATACAGCAGAGCTAACGTGTTAATATTTATGGGAACACCCCTCACTTTGTGTCTCTAAGCATAGCAAGTTTATCTAGGAAAGGTAAAGTTCTGACTGACTTTCTTTGATTTCTCCAATATGATTATAATGATGGGGAATTTAGCTTATTTGGAACATCCTGTTAGTAGAGTGAATAATATCCTACTGTTTAGAACAATGATGAGATGCATTCATCTGAAATGGTGCAGCTAATAAGGCTGGAAGCGAGTCTCTGCAAGTGGGTGCCTACTCATCTGTAAAAGGTGATCTGGGCTCTTCCAGATCATTTAATCTTAAAGTGTCAGATAAATGAGTATTTGCTCAAGCTGTTCATATTTAATTTTCACTTTAGAACTAGTGGTGTCCAGATGGACCTCCTGACTGGCCCCCAGGGTAAACTGCTGAGTAAACCAGACCCGTGTAGCTCTTCGGAGAGAGGCAGCTGCCGAAGCCTTTCCTTTTGCATAAATACATGTTCATTATCCCAGAGCTCTAACATGATGGATCTTTGAGACTGTGTTTTGGCACATTTGGGACAACCCCCCCCCCCTTTTTTTTGGTTGTTCTGGTAGTGACCACCTATCTACATAATAAAACATGCTGCCTCAATGCACGTTTCTTTTGAATTTTCACTAAGTAGCAAGGACTATTCAAAAACATGTAACCTCTGGCCAAATAAATGTGCTACCTTCCAGTGTCGGATTACCCAGTAAGCAAGGTAACCGTGGGTTTGCTAATGTAAGCTGCACAATGTCATATTTCCACCACACCAAAGGTTATGCTTCTTCTAGGTTTAGCTGGCTTCTGACCCTCTCCCAGCCCCTTTCCTATGGAATCAAAGCCTCTTTCAGATTCCCAGTCCTTGACAGAGCAGCCTATTGGGTAATCAACTTCTGCCTTTTGACCCAGTTATTCTGTGTCCTTTACTAAGAAAATAAGTGGAATTGCAGATAATGCAAAGGAAAATCCCAGTGGTTTATACTTTTCCTTTCACTCAGTACAGACATTGTTGGAATGAGTCCATAGCTGGCCCTCCAGCAGGTTTTCAGAGACTGGATTTCATCTGGGAGGAGATTGCCCGATTTTCTCCCATAGTTGGTAGATTAGAACTGCCTGCCTTTGGATTGGCAGTGCAACTCCTTACCTACCAAGCCACCAGAGCACCCTTCTTTTCTTTTAGAGGTGTATGATTACCTTTCTGCTGCCTTGATCATACTGGGTGAATTCCTTATTCAATTACTTATTTTCACCTGCATGTGTAGAGTTCAATTTTAAGTGTGGGATGAGGTTATTACCTGAAGAAGAAATGAATAAGAATTGGTGGAAAGAAACTCTTTTTACACACAGATTTCCCCTGCTATCAGAATGTAGAGCCTTCCTTTACAACCTTTTGTAAATTGAAAGAGGGTAATGTGAAGAAACAAATACCATTATGAATTAAGAGGAAAAATTGTTGAGATTTTGACTTCAAAAAGAACTTCTCAAATCAGACAGAACCACATGGGAAACCAAAGCTCACATGGCCACTGTGTTCACAGACACATTTCAAAGCTATGGGAGCTTGAAACCGCCATGCTGAGTGTGGCTTCAATGAAGGAGCCTGGTGACACTGCTCTCAATAGGAGCAGCTTTTTTTTTTTTTTAAAAATAAATAAGTAAGTAAGTAAGTAGGTAAGTAAGTAAATAGATAGATAGATAGATACATAGATAGATAGCATTGTCTTCTGATTTCTTTGTGTTAATGTAGGTCCTTTGTAGTGAATGGAAGTTTTTGGTAAAATTGAACTGATATGAAGCAAACTTTCATGAAGCAGGTGATTTCTGTATTCCTGTATAGTAAATAACATTACACACAGATATTTCAGAAAAAATTATGTCATTGCCAAAAGAAGTTTATTGTTTTTATCTAATGTGTCTAAGTAGAATTTATTACTTTCTTTCATCAGATATCACAGAATTATCCATCTGGGGGGTGGTTATACTGTGAATTTTTTTCTTTTTTTTAGCATCATTAGCAAATTTCTGTTATTTAAGTATTTGGTTACCAAGTTAACACTACTTGGCTGTTTTAGAATCTCTGATGGACAGGCTCCCAGAAACCTAAACGGCGTTTGTTGGCTTTTCTTGCTGTTGCAGCGTGATTCGGCACCGAGACGTGCGGTCCTGTCACTATGGTGTAATAGACAAGTTCCGGCTCCAGGTTTCTGAGCAAAGCCAGCGGAAGGCTTTCGGGAAGAAGGAGATTGTGGCCACTCTTCTCCCATCTGCAAAAGAACAACAAAAGGAAGAAGATGAAAAGAGAATAAAGGAGCAGTCAACAGACAATTTATACTTTGAGCAGTCATCGCAACCAGGTAGTTTTTGAAAGCTCTACTTAGATCTCCCATGTTTCTGACTTTGTAGTAATCAGAGCAACAGAGGATAACTCCGAGGAAAATCATGTGTCGCTTTGATTTGAGCCTCCACAGCCTCTTTTGCCGCTTGACAAACCAACCTAGCAACCAGGTGCCTGCGTGACACCAAGTGTCTCAGGCTGGGCTTCCTGAGGCTGGAATAGCTCGCTCCATACTTATATAAGGAGAAAGCGCAGATCTTTCCGTGGCTTTTTAGACACATAATTATTTTCAACTCAGAAGACACAGGCTATGATGCTACTACAATTTGGCAATTACATACTTTCTCTTTTTGTGCCTTTCCTATATCCTTTTCTCATTTAATTAGTTTGAAGGAGGAGAGAGATTGTGTTTGGCAATAGACCAAGCTTAGTGTACTGTTCATATTATTTTGGAAAAAATCTCATTAAAGTTGAAGTTAATTAAACTAAGTAGATTATAATATCCCCTGTGGGCTATTAATTGAATCCCTCTCTATTCCTCATTTCCTTCCAGCTTAGATATTCAGAAGTGTTATGATATATTCTTTCAACGTTGACACTATCTTCATATTCAACTCCTTGGTGGTTATTCCCCCTCCCTCTTGGATTCTCATTATCGCCCCCGAATCCCTCTCATGAAAGGAGGAAGATGAAAATTTCCATAGGAAAACATGGAAACTTTGTGATAGTCATGTATGAATGTAGTAAAGCATCTGTCCTTGAAATTGTAACGTTATATCTGAGGGATTGTGTTTAATCTGCTTGTCATTACATTAATTCATGATCTGTATCGGTTCATTCATCACAGACTGTATTTTAATATGATGGGGAGTAGTGCCTCTTTGACTGTAGCCAAGCGTCTTGTCAGTCCAGAGGGAGTGCCCTCGTTTCTTGGTAATGCCATTTTAGCATCAGGAAAATAGAGACTAGGTGCCAGGGAGTAGCTTCCTCTAATTAGCTGACACAATCAGCTTTTCAAGCTGAAGGAGAACTTCTGTCAAATATACTTTGAAGGCAGGTCAGTACGGTGAAGCTGACTCTTATGAAATGCAAGGTTCTCCGTCTTAAACATCTTCTCTAGTACAGAACCCAGAAGCCAGATACACTGCTGCCAAGTAAGTTCCAACCCACAGTAGCTCTCCACTGGGTTTCTGAGGTTGGACATATTCATGAGAGTAGATGGCCTATCTTTTTACCTTGGAGCAGCTGGTGGAGTCGAACTGCTAACCTTTTGGTTAGCAGAGCAACAGGTAATGCAGTCTAAGAAAGGTGCCATGATGAGTATTTGGGGTTTGACTTTAAATTAATAATTTAAAGTAGTTGTTAGAGTGCATTCTTAAATTTAACAGATGGATTTAATAATCAGGTATAGTGAAGATGAAGGTTTAGGTGAAATGTGTGTGTGTGTTGTTGTTGTTGTTGTTAGGTTCCAACGCATAGTGACCCTATGCGCAACACAGTGAAACCCTGCCTGGTCCTGTGCCATCCTCACAGTTGTTATTGGGCCCACTGTGACAGCCACATTGCCTGTCAGTCCATCACACTGAAGGCCTTAAAGTCACCAATCGTGATGTGCTTCTTCAGGGACTGATCATTTCTAATAACATACTCAAAATAAAAGCCAAACTTTCACCATCCTTGCTGCATGCTTCCAAGGCAGATTTGTTTGTTCTAGCAGTTCATGGGCTAATCAGTACTCTTCTCCAACACACGATCCAAAGGCATCAGTCCTGCTTCAGTCTTCCTTATTCATTATTCATTACGCTTTCACATGCATATGAAACAGTTGAAAATACTGAGTGTTAGGCCAGCTACACCTTAGCTTTAAAGTGACATCCTTATCCTTGTCCTTTAGCACTTTAAAGTTCTTTGACAGAAAAAAAGTTCTTGCCCATTGCAGTATGTCATTGTTTTACTTCTTGACTGTTGCTTCTATGAGTGTTGATAGTTTATCCAAGTAAAATGAAATCCTTGACTGTGTCAGTTTCCTCCTCCTATTTTTCACAATGTGGTTTATTAGTCTAGCTGTTTTCTTCCTTCTTCATAAAGAATTGTTTTTCCTTTATGTTTAGATGCAGTCTTTACTGAAGACTTTTTGGAGGCAGAAGTGGCTTCCACTTCCTAAACATGCCTCTGGAAACTTTGAATTTTGATAAGTTATAGAAAGGATTCAGGCCTTTTTGTTCATAGGGTCTCTATGAGTTGTGCTCGACTAGAAGGCAATCAGCAACAACAACTATAATATATAGTCTTTGATCATCAGTAGTCCTTCAAGTCTTTGTTCTTGGCAAGCAAAGTTGCAGCATCTTCATTTTGCAGGTTGTTAATTAGCCTTCCTTCAATCCTGATGCCTCATTTATATGGTACAACTTTACAAGATCGATAACCTGTTCATTGGAAATACCTCTTTTTAAACAACAGAAATGGTCATTATATACAGGAACCAGATCACTCCATCTACAGAAAGAGAGGCTAAAGAAAACTCACTATCTCAGGATTAGAGGATGATTCATCAACATCCTGTGATAAGTAGATGACACAACTTTTCTAGCAGAAATTAAGAGACCTTGAAGTACTTACCAAAAGATCAAAGACCATAGCCTTCAATATCATTTATGCCTGAACATAAAGAAAACAAAAATCCTCACAACTAGACCATTAGGCTACATCTTGATAAGTGAGGACAGATTGTTTTAATTTTCTATACTATTACACCAGGTTATCAGACCCCTTAATAACATCATCTGCTGGCTCCTTCATTGGATCCATTCCAGTTTGTAATCAAGTATATCTTTCTTTTGAAGAAAGAAAAGAAATTCACTATCAATCAGAACAAGGTCAGGGCTCAACTACAGAGCAGACCATCAATAGTCATAGACAAGTTCAGGGTGAATCTGACAAATAATGAAAACAAATCCACAAGAGCCAAAATATGACCATGAGTATGTCATTCCTTAATTTATACACCATTACAAGCATGAATTTAACACATTGAACACTAGTGATCCAAGACCAGATGAGTTGTGGGATCAATGACATCATACATGATGAAAGCAAAAGGTCATTAAAAAGAGGAAAAAAGGAAAAGACCAAAACAGATGTCGGAAGAGATTATAAAAGTTGCCCTAGAACTTAGAGGAGCTAAAGCAAATTGGAGAAACATGTAAAACAGTTGAATAGGGGATCAAAGGGTAGTTTGAGAAAAGTGATAATGAAATGTACACAGACCTGGAGTTGTTAGAAAACCAACTCAGCATTTCTCAAGCTGAAAGAAATTAATCTATTTCTCTCTCCCCCCCTTCCTCCCTCCCTCTCTCCCTCCCCTCATTTCTTGTAATTCAGGTGAAATCATCCTTAAAGGGTTAAATAATAATAGTATTACTTGAGATTTTTTTTCCCCCCAAACCACTGACATTTTTGTTTGTTTCTTTAGGGGATTTTATTTTTTTAAATTTTACTTTATACTGGTTTGCATACAAAGTTCGTAAAGTTCATATACATTGTTTTTCACACTGGACCTTTCCCCTTTCCGGTAATTACCAATCTCTCCACCCACCCATCAATTTATTTAAGCCCCACCCCCCCCCATCCTCCTCCTCGCTCTACAATAATGGTCCTATACAGTATTTGTCTTTATGAGACTGAGTTAGTTCACTTAGCGTAATGCTCTCCAGTCCCTCCCAAGTTGGGTACTTATTTACAAAATCATTGCTCCTCTGTGCTGCATAGTATTCCATCATGTGAATGCACCATAATTTCTCAATCCATTCCATTGTGGTCATGCATTGGGCTGTTTCCATGCTCTTGCGATGGTAAATAATGCTGCTGAGAACATTAGTGTACAAGTTTCTGTGAAAAGAAAACCTACTGATTAGGAACAAATATTTGGCAATACTTTCTCAGTTGTCTGGGTCTCATAATGAAAGTTTACGGAGTCCTGAAGGGCCTCTAGAAGAAAAAAACTGATGCTGCAATTACAAAATGGGCAAAAGACATGGAAAGACTTTTCACAGAGGACATTCAGATGGCAAACAGACACATGAAGACATGCTCCAAATCACTGGGTATAAGAGATATGCAGATCAAAACCATGATGAGGTGCCATCTCACCCCAGTAGCAGTGGCAAAGTTTAATAGGGCAGCAAGTAATAAATGTTGGAGAGGATATGGTGAGATAGGAACTCTTATACAGTGTTGGTGGGATTGTAAAATGATACAGCCACTCTAGAAGGAAGTTTGGCAGTTCCTCAAAAAGCTGGACATAGAAACTCCATATGAACCAGCTATTCCACTGCTTGGAATATACTCTGAGAAAATGAGAACTGAGGCGTAAACCACCTACCTTTCCTTATGAACTTCACCATCCCAGGGAAGAAGAACCTTTCACCTCAGAGAGGAAACTGTCAGCCAAATGGATTGACACAGTGACTACCACAGCACTTTGAAACATGACAGAGGTGGTGAGAATGGTGCAGGATGGGGCACGGTTCACAGCCGTTGTTCAGAGGGTCACTGTGAGTCCTAGTCAACTGGACAGCACCTAACAACAAAAACAAACCTCAGACAAATAACAAAATCATGTGTATAAATGTTTCTAATGTTGCATGTTTCTCTTTCTAGACTTTTGTCCATGTGCATAAATAATATTCTGTATTTTGTTTGTTTGGGAGGTGGTGTTCTTTTTTTTTTTTTCTTCTTCTCCCATTTAACAGAAGTATAACTAAGTGAAAACCCCAGGAAGTAAGTAGGCTTTCAGAAGATAACAAAAGCCCAGGTTATTAAAAGAGATGTTTTCAAAGATAACAGCTGTTCCTTAGTGGCTTTAATTACATTATTAATGAACCACTATGAATGTTTGAGTCTGTGCCCTCTGGCTTAAGAAAATTACACTATTATTATTTATAATAACAAAAAATTGAAAATGACCCCAATTTCCATCCTTTGAGTTCTGATTAAATTATGAATAGCCGCAAGATGAAATACCAGGCAGGCGTTTAATAGAATCCAAGAGACTGATAGATTATTATGTGCTAACAAAAAGAAATTCAGATATCTTTTTAAGTGAGAAAAAAAGAAATCGTTTATGTAATATGGTCCTGTTTATAAAAAAAATACTTTTTGTGCTTGTATGAGCATTTACAAAATTATCTGAAGATCTGTGCCAACCTGTTAACAAAGAAGGGACAAAAGAGAAAGCTTTACTTTTTTCCTTTGTGAAAAGTTTTGCAACAATCTTGTTACATGCGGTTGAGTTGACTATGTGTGCTGGAGAACAAACCAACCCCTGCCTTCCTGATCCTGTGCCATCCTCGCAGTCTGTTCTGCTAGAGCCCAGTGTGGCCGTCACTTGTGTCAATTCTTCTCCTTTAGAGTCTTCCTTTTTTCCACTGACCCTCCACTTTTCCTGCCTTAATAAAAGGCAGTGGGAAACTCCATTTCAAAACTTTTCAAAAATATAAATTCTTTTGCAATTTTTTTTAAGACTTACAGTTCCTTGCGGTACCTTTAATTTTTGGTGAGCAATGTGATTGTTACGTTTTCCTGGAAGATGCATCCTTGTAACAAATAGAAAGCAAAAGGTGCTTTATAAATATTAGCCGAAAGACTTGTTTTTGTAGGAGTCTGTGCTTTTGCTTCATTGCAAGACATATGAAATTAGAATTTGTTCCTAGCTTTTTTACTTTATCGAGTTATTAATAATTTAGAAAAGCTGCATTTACTAATAAAACAGTGTTATTAATAAAACACAGGTTTTGGGTTGCTGTTGGCTATTCCTTCTAATGAAAGGAAAGGTAATGGGAAAAGTCATGTAGTGGAAAGTGCTGTTACTGGGTTTCTTAAAAATATGAGTATGCCGAACTTTTGCATGCTTTTGTACTGGTATGCTACTAATGGGGTGGCATGGACAGCAAGAGTTTTCTCAGCAGCTTCATAGCACTCAGTTGGTGGCACTTTTTGGTGCCTTAACATTTTCAAAACTGGAATTAAACCTGTGTAGATACTGTTAGAATAGATGGGAACGTGAGTGCAATAACTTCCAAAACTGGTGCACACCCCAGCAATCCATTAGGGTACAGAAAGAAGGGATCAGCTTTTCAGTTGATAATTCTTTTCTGCCTCTTTTTGAAAATTGGTATGTTTTGTCCAAAGTATAATGATAGTACAGTTGTCACTTGTGTATCGTAACACTGCAACAGTAGGTTCAAGTGCAACAGCAATTGTGAAGAGCGAGCAGTGCGTTTCATTGTGTTGTACATAAAGTTGCAGTGCATCAGAATTTACTCAGTGGCACCTATCAGTAACAAGGTCCATGTGTATCATTTATATATTAAACTGTAGCAAAAAGAGTAATGATTACTGTTCTTTCCAGCAGGGACTTTACAATACTGTTGCATCATTCTGTCCCATATGCCTGGAAGCAGTGAGTTATGGACTTCCAGCAGATTCACCTCTATAGAATGAGGTGGATGAGGAAGGAAGGGGCCAGAGAAGTGAGAGACAGCCCGTAACCTACCACGCTTTGCATGGAAGTGTGACAAGAAGCAAACTTAGGGCTTTTTGTTCTCTTACAGAAAACAAAAGTGCCTCTTCAGGCCCTAGTTTACTAACTGTCTTCCTGGGAGTGGCTTGCATTGCAGCCCTGATGCTTCCCACGCTGGGAGATGTGGAATCGCTGGTGCCTCTCTACCTCCACTTAAGTGTGAATCAGAAACTAGTGGCTGCATACATTTTAGGTAAGTGTTTTGAAGACATGTTTGGAAAGGTAGTCTGAGAAGTTTCCCACTTTCGACAGGGTGCAGTGCTAGCACTTTTCTTTGACTCTGTGAAAAATACTTGCCTTTCCTTTTCTGCAAGCTTGCCGCCTTACACAGGTTCTGGTATTGGTAGGTTTTCCTGCAGTTCATTCAAACAAACGTTCAGCTCCTCCTACCACACGTCCAAGATGAGGAATGTCAAGTGATGTTTCTCAAAATTCTTCAGCTTTCTCTTTCTGAAAATTTCAAAAATGTCTCCTAAATTGTTACCCCACCTCCTTCTGTCTGTCTGTGCTCTTTCCTCCTTCACTTCTTCATCTCCCCTACGCTGTCCATCCCTACGGCTGCCTGTTTTGATTTTATCACCACTCCATTCAGAACCCTTGAAATGATCTCCATAAATCCCCAGAATGAAGTCTAGCCCTATAGTTGGCTTTTTACGACTCTGTAATCTAAGCGCTCTCTGAGCCAATTTTGCCAAGCCACCCCCTATATAAATCTTTTGGTTTTTTTAGGGGGGAGTATTTTTTTTTTTACTGGAACAAGTAATACCATTTTTAATTAGGGATTCTATGGTGGGGGGAAGAATTCTTTTCAAATGACTGGAATAGGAGATTTAAAATCTCAGCTTTTGGAAGAACCATTTGTTTTTGCCCATCTTGTACCTCTCCTCAGACTTGTACTGGGCATCCCACCTCACCTTGTGTTTAAGAGCAGGGCCTCTGAAGACATCCTTGTTGACAATGATTTTGCCCAAGGACATATCCACAGAGGACCTTGTGGGCATGAGGTGACTGTAGTTAAAAACTTTCACGAAGGACTTGATCTTTGACCTCTCGGCAGTTTTCTTCTTGCCCACAGCAGCTATCACTTTTTGGGGATAGCAGTCAATTCCTGCTACAAGAGCATCGCTGTAAGGGTGGCCTGAGGTGCCATCATCAATATTCTTGACGATGATGGCTTTGTGTCCAGAGTAATGTCTGGCCAGGAGTGGCACCACCTTCCCGGGTTTCATGAACTTCCCCATTTTGACAGCAACCACTCAAACCGACCCCTATATAAATCTTGGATTATTTTTGTGTTTGTCAAATGTGTTGAAGCCAGCTTTGACTCACAGCGACCTTCCTGTGTACAAGAAATCCTGCTGCCCCTGCCGCATCCTCAAATTCTCTGCTGTGGTTAAAAGGCCATTCTGGTAGTACAGTGCCAGTCCTTCAGCTTGAAGGTCTTCCTGTTTTCTGCCAGCCTTTCACTTTACCAAGCCTAACGGCCCCTTTAGAACCCCAAAATGCTCCACTTCATGTCCTTACACTTGCCATTCTCTCACATGAAATGCCTGCCCAGCGCATCTCTTGGGTTTTCTGTCTTTCCTCTATCTGCTAAGTCTTATCCCAGCCTTGGCTCTTTGGGACTTCTGTTTGGACTGCCCAGGTCTGTGTGACTCATCTTCATCACTCATTCACTTCCTTGACCACTCTTCGAGGGTGTAGCACATTCATCTGTTACTGCATTGTTGTGGATATGTATATGGAGTGTCTCCAGAAGAGACTGGCAAAGCAGTGGTACCACACCTCTGCTGCTTTGTGACCCTTGAGTCCTGGGGTAATGATAAGCTCCACAATGTTGCTTTGTTTTGGGGGCGGCAGTTTTATGGTAACAGCCCAGCATTTATTGAGTACTTAGCAAGACGAAGTTTAAAGGCCAGTTTTACATGTTTTGTATCATTTGATTCTTACTGCAGTAGCAGATTGTAGATTACTCCATGCTCAGTGGCACAATACTCAGCCTGATCTGGCATCATCTTCATATCAGACAGTTGTGATCTATATGATTTCCACTGGCTGAATTCTGAATTTTTGGAAGTAGATTACCAGAGTTAGACAGTCTTAATCTTGCAGCTCTGCTGCAACTTGTATAGCATTCTATACCTCCAATTACAAATGAGAACCATGGTAACAGAAAGTTAAATGTACTGGGACAGAATAACCAAAACATTAAAGTCAAGGTAGTTGACCTCCCCAATGTTTTTGTTGATAAAGTCCACTAGCTTCACTGACACTTTTGAATGGTATGTCTGCTATTGTTATAGCTGATGTGACCAGATACAGTTGGAAGAAAATTTTGATGACTAAATTAGTTATGGCCTGACATTAGTGATTTGATTGAATCTATCCAGTGACAGGCCTTTGCTCTGAATTGGATTTCTCCTGTAAAATATCAGCTGTATTTAAATTGACTCTGAGTTCTTGGCCAAGTTCCTGCTTATATGCTGTATTTTATTTGCTCATTGAGGGAAGATTCTATAAAATGCATGTCTTTTCCTGTTTATCTTTTCCCCCCCTCCCTTCTCTTTCAGGTCTTATCACAATGGCTATACTTAGAACATGAGCCAAGGATTTCAGCTGACTTCTGAAGTAATTTTATCTTCCAAACACCATGAATGTGGACTGCCTTTTATCTCTGTTTCACTCCATTAACATGCTACAAATGATTTAAAATAATCGCAAATGTGTAATATATATTTTGAATTACTCTTCTCATTTTATTTGAAGAACTCCAGCGCATCATGCTAAAGACAGAAATGGAGTTTCTGAGTGACTCCTATGAAATGATTTTCCCCCCTATGAAATGATTTGAAGAAATTCTTTTTATATCAATACATAATGTACAAATGACTTTAAATCAGGCACTTGTTACTTTAGCCTCTTTTTCTAGTTCCCTCTGATTGTTAAGCTCATGTGTCTGTCAAAGTTAAAGACTAAAAGGGCAAACTGACCCTCTTAAAAGGAAAAGAGTTTTTATTTTCTGTTTGCAAGCATTAATGTTGCTATGTAAGCTATGCTTGTCTGCTATTGTGAAAGGAGCCCTAGTAGCACAACGGTTAAAGCATCCAGCCACTAACTGAAAGGTCAGTGGTTTGACCTCACCAGCTGCTCTGCAGGCGAAAAATGTGGCTGTCTGCTTTTGTCAAGATTGTTGCTACATGCCATAGAGTCAGCTCTGACTCATAGCGACTTTGTACAACAGAAAAACCCCTTGCCTGATCCTGCACCATCGTCACACTCTGTGCTGTGCTTAAGCCCGTTCTTGCAGTCACTGAGGCAGTCTGCCTTGTTAAGGGTCATCTTTTTTCCTGCTGACCCTTTTTTGCTTACCAAGCATGATGTGCTTCTCCAGGGACAGGCCCCTCCTGATAACATGCCCAAAGTATGTGAGACCAAATTCTCTCCATCCTTGCTTTTAAGGAGCATTCTGGCTGCACTTCTTCCAACACAGGTTGATTAGGGGTGTTTTTTAATTTTTGGGTTTTTTTTTTTCCAGACTGTAGCTTATTCAGTACTTTCACTAATAATACAATTCAAAGGTGTCTTCCTTATTCTTTATCCAACTTTCACGTGGATATGAGGCAATGGGAAAATGCCATGACTTTGGTCAGGCACACCTTAGTCCTCAAAGTGACTTCTTTGCTTTCAAGCACTTAAATAATTCAACCCTGTAAAGATTATAGTTTTAGAAATCCTACGGGCTGTTCTGACCTATGAAGTTGCTACGAATTGGAATCAACTTGATGGGTTTGGGCTCACTATCACGAGCAGTTGCATTTCTAGGACAGCATTTTAGCAGTTAATGTAAAACATTAAGATACTGAGGGATCATGCGTGTCCTGGGGATTCACAGAGGACAAAGCATGACTAATTCATCTGCTGAACTACTGGATAGGTTGTGGTCTTAACACCAAGCATATAGGTTTTTCTAAAAACCTGTATAAATTGTACTGTGTACCAGACCTCCCTTCCAGAAATAGGTCTAAGAGTTTTGAGGGAGGATAGGAATTGAGTTGTCTAATTGGTTTACCCTGGCTGTGACTCTGGACAGAAACGCTTCATATTAAGGAGGCGTGGACTTGGTCTCTATTCTCCCTTGCCCCTTGCCTACCCACATGTAAGTGATGTGCCCAAATTGGGATTAGCCGATCATTCTCCTTTAAACTCTAGGCCACGCATAGAAAATCCTTGATATCCGTGTCTATTTTGTATCAGTCACTGAGACATTTTTTAAGTTTTTATTTATTAAACTACTTTACCAAAAAAAGTCCCTAAGCACAACTATTTGCATTTCTTTATAGCCTCTTCTGATCTCTAACATACATGTATGTTAGATGTCTATATCTAACATAATATATATATGCAGTTTTAACTTATCATAGTAACTAATATTTTGACTTAAGATTTTTACCCAAGAGCACAATGCATTAAGTCTCTTGAAAAATCATCTTCCAGATCTTTTTACTGAATGAATTTATGCACTGCGACAATAACATTCTCAAGGAATATATGTAAACACACAATGTATGCCTGATGTTGATTTTTTGCAGGAAACTGTACTTTGCTTCTACAGAGCTTTTATGTATACTCTTTCACAGGGAATTTTCATTGTTGAACCTTTTGAGGAGCCTAAATCGTTAAATGGATCATATCTGTACGTTGTGTAATGCCTGAAAAGCACATACATGTAATTGACTTTGAACTTTGTAAAACCCCATATTTGGAGGCTATCCTTGCTCCTCTCTCCATCTCAAGTTGTGTGAGTGTGGTTGTGTGCACGTGTGCAAGTGCACACACATGTGTGTATGTGTGGGACAGCACATTGTAAAGGACAGAAATGACTTAAAAAAAATAAAAGAAAATGCAGACCTGCGCTTCATTTGATTTCCATGTTTTTATTTGGGTTACCTCCAAGGAATTCAAAGGGTCACCGCTCCCATTTCCTACAGTTGTTTCCTGTTCCTGTGAGTCAAGTAGAGAAAAAAAGAACAGTAAAGTTGTTGAGCCTGAAATAACCTTTGGTTTCTTCATTTACCAGAGCAATTTCTTTTCCCAACTATTTCACCACCATTAATACAAATTCACTGTCCCCCACCCCTCAGACTTTGGAATTGCTGTTGTCCAGTTGATGACATGTAGATAAGTCATTGAAGTCAAAGTTCAACGTAGCTATTCTTTTCTAATCAAATTGAATTTGGTTCGGAGAGTTAGGTGCCATCAAGTCAGCTATGATCCATAGTGACCAGTGTCATTTGTTGTTGTGTACTGTCGACCCAGAGCTGACCCTTTGATAGGTTTTTAGAGGCAGTTAATCGCACGGGAGGTTTCCCATCCTCCTGTGGGGCAGCTGGTGGATTCGAACCATGTGCCTTCAGGACTGCAACACAGCCACCAGAGCTCCCTGTAGTGACTGTATGAACAATGAATGTGAACCTTTCCTGAGTCATCCTCACAATCTCTGCCATGTGAGTCCACTGTGACATCACTGTGTCAGTCTGTCTTGTTGAGGGTCTTCTTTGTTGCTGACCCTCCACCTTTCTCAGCAAGATGTCTTTTTCTAGGGACTAGTCCTCTTGACAACAGGCCCAAAGGATGTGAAAGGATGACTTGTCACCATCTTCGCCTCTAAGGAGCACCCTTGTTGCACTACCTTCAAAACAGACATGTTTGCCATTTTGGTAGTTCAGTGGATATTCAATGCTCCAACACTACAACTCAAAGATAGTGATTCTTCTGTTGTTCTTATTCCATCTTTTAGATGCATTTGGATATTTTTGTAAGCAATCAAAAATACTATGTGTAAAAAACAAACAAACAAACAAAAATACTATGTGTGTTGACTGTGGATCCAAGTAAAATGAAATCATTGACAGCTTCACTTCTCCATCTGTCATGGTGTTACCTATTGGTCCAGTGGTGAGAATTTTTGTTTTCATCATGCTGAGATGGAACCCATATTTTTCATTTTCTTACAGGAGTTTTCTGCGATGTTAAGTGCCATCGAGTACGACTCATAGTGATTCTGAACAACAGATCTAAATCCTGTCATATCCTGCACCATTGCCTGTTGCTGCAGTTGCTGTGTCAATCCACCTGGTTGAGGGTCTTCCTGTCCTTTGCTGACCTTCCACCTTTCCAAGCATGATCTCTTTCTCTAAGGAACAGCCTCTTCTAACTCATATATGAGACCATCTTTGCTTGCTTCCAAAGAGCTCTCTGGCTGCACTTTCTCTAAGAGATGTCTGCTTGTTCTTTTCACAGTCCATGGGATATTTAGCACTCTTGTTCAGTAACACAACTGAAAGGCATCAATTCTTCCTCTGGCATCCTTATTGTCCAGCTCTCAGATGCACAGCAGATGGCTGAAAAGACTATAGCTTGAAACAGGTGCACCTTAGTCATTAAACTGATTTCATTCCTCTTTTGGGCTTTGGAGAGGTGCCTTACAACAGACATTCTCAGTGCTTTATATCTCCGTAATTCTGATAATTTCTATCAGAATTTTCTGTGATAAAACCCACAAAAATATTTCCTTTCAGTTTATAACTTTTCTATTGACTTTGCTTATGGTGTTTTTATCATGTAAAATTTGCTCCGGAGTGGATTTTTCATTATCTCAATTCTAAATCACAGTTAGGAAACAAAGATCAACAATCATAGCTTTCATACATGGACACAAATACTAGATGGAGTGAAAGAAAAGAATGCATTTAAAGTAGAAAAAAAAGAAAAGAAAAACAATCTTAGTTAAGTTTTAAAAAGTCCAAACCCCTTTGTGAGGAAAACTATCAAACACTTTCTGAAAGATAAAATAAATTTTACAAATGGAAGATAGTGTGACTTTTTTTGGTCTCGGCATCATAAGGGGGAGTGTGTGTGTGTAAAAACAACCATACACCACTTTGACTATTTCTACATGTACTCTCAGTGACGCTACAATCTTCGAGTTGTGTCATATTTCTCAACAACCTTTCCCTGACAGTTTCGCCATCAATTCACACAAATTCAGTGCTAAGCTTCTTATCCTTTTCAATTGCTGTTGTCCATTTGTTCACGTATCAGTGATTTTTCAAAGCTAAATGTATCGAGCAATGTTGTGGGGAAGGTCCTTGCCCCATAATAGCTGCTCAGTTTACCAGTGTGAAGTAGCACAGACACATATGTATGTATACCAACCAGCCTAGAAAAACTAGAAACTGTATGTAAACTAAAATTAGAATCCCTGATAAAGGGGCAAAAGGCAGATTTTCTGATCTTTAGGCTCAGCCAGACCCCAAGTAAAAACAAAAATGACTGCTAAAAAAAAAGCTTAATGTAGCTATTCTTTTCTAATTAGGTAAAATTATTGTTTCAAGGAGTAGGGGAGAGTTTTGGTTGAAGGTTCTAAAGGTCTCCGCAGGGTAATAATAGTTCCAGACAGGTGTTATCCAGGCCCAATGGCTCCAGACTTTCTGGAGTCCATGAGAATTCAGTCAGTCTTCACTCACTTCCCCCTTTGATTCTTTGGAATCCTTGATCTAATTTAGGGAAAAAAGTATTAATAGGTAACAGTCATGTGCCTCA